TGAGCCACATCCCCAGCCCTTAATAAAAATATTTTAATGCTCACTACATAACAGACTTGATCTAAGCACTTTATATCTGGATATAGAAGAAATTAGATGGCATCTCTAGACCTTTTATTTTTACAACCCTATGAGTTACTACTCTGAGAATCACCAAAATATTATACATGTATGATGATGTTAAAATGAATCCCACTATTATATATACCTATAATGCACTTCTGAAAACATTTTTAAAATAAAAAAAAATCAAACAATTTTCCAATCATTTAAAATTTTTATTATGCCTGGACTATGTTTAGAAAATGGAAGAGGAATTATTTTTTAAGAAGACATCGGGTGATAGGAAAAGAAAAGTGTTTATTTCTGGCCTAACCTTAGAGTTATTCCCACATGTATAAATTTTATGAGAATGGTCTTATCTATCTATCTATCTATCTATCTATCTATCTATTTATGGGTACTGGGGGTTGAAACCAGGGTGCTATGCCACTGATCTACATTCTCAGCCCTTTATATATTTTATTTGGAGACAGAGTCCTACTGAGTTGCTTAGGGCCTTGCTAAGTTTCGAGGCTGGCCTTGAACTTGCAATCCTCCTGCCTCAGCTTCCAGAGGCATTTGGGATTATAATTTATATATAAAAATATAAATTTATATAAATAAATTATATATTAATGTAATTTATTTATAAAATTAATCATAAGTACTTTATATATTGTAATTTATTTATAACCACCCAGAAAGTCAGGGAGAAAGGAAAAGAAAAAAGTCCTTTTGTTCACCTTTGGTGCAGCTCTGTAGTGACTTTCTCCTGATCTTTGTCTGAAATCCCTGGCGTCCCTCTGGGAAGGTCTGCTACTGCCCAGCCACAGCTGGGCCTGGCTCAGCTGTCCTTGGTGTCCAGGTGGGACACAGCTCTGGATTCAGGGTGATTCTACACAATCTCCATGACACTCTGTGACTTGGTTTTGGACCTGGCTGTCCTTGGCACACAGACAACTTTCACGATTCAATTTAAGAACACCATTTGTGTTTGCACCGACGTGAATCAGAAGATTGTAATGGTGGAACGACGAGGAACCATTTTCACGTGGTGACAATAACTCGGGTCCCTTATAGAAACCACTCTTCCTGGCTTTCTCTCCTCTTAATCCAACTTCAAAGTACAAAAATGAAGTGAAGTAAGACAGCCTTCATGCTACAAAAAGAGGACAAGTCTGGGAAAAGAAGTCACCCCCTGGTAGCTTGCTGTCGTACCTCTGCCAATTGATTTGTCCCAGCTTGGGGACCATGAAGTTAAAATATCCCAAAGTGCAGAGGCCAAGTCAAGCCCAA